CAAAATGCCTAGAGCGGCCGGCTTCCTTCTTTTAGCTTTTGCAAACGGGAGTTTGCGTTTGCAAACTTGTGTGCAAGCCGCGCTGCTTCCCCAACCTTATTTATTTATTCTTGTGCTTGGACTGCAACTCCCAGAAGCCCCGCCAGGCCTAGCTGGGGTGTGTGTGAAGGCTTCTGGGAACTGCAGTCCAAGAACACTGTGGGGCCACCCCCAGCTGCACGTTATTCTCTGAAGCAAAATGAGAAAAAAAATGAGGTTTTTTTTTAAGGACTGCAACCGATGGCTCTTCGCCAGCCCTGCAGCAAATGTCAGGCTGCAGTTTGTAGGGCATTTCCTTGCACCAGCTTCTATGCAAAAAATAAAATAAAATAAAAGGATTAAGTGAATCTGGAAATGCAAAGACAACTTAACAAATCCCAGCATCATCTTGTGGGGGTTTCTGGATCCCAACGGAGAGACACCTTGGATGACTATATTTGAATCATTGTAGATGGTTGTACATGAAACAAATAAAACATCCCCTGAAAATAAGCCCTAATGCGTTTTTTTGGGAGCAAAAATTAATATAAGAGCCCTGTCTTATTTTCGGGGAAACACGGTACTAAAAAAGATCCAACCAGAAGGTTAATTTGTGTGTGTCTGTTTTTAGAGAGGAGGGGATTGCTCAGCCTTTACAGTTGTTTGGGACACCTTGCCAGAACCACCACATCAGAAGTTATGGCTGCAAGCATTTTCCCATTTAAGCCAGGAGCTTAAATGGGAACCTCCAAATATACAGGATTAAAAATCCTGCGTCTCTTAGACTTTCGGTAAAGGGGAAGAGTCTTTTTCCCTTTAGAGTGTTTCTTGATAGACATACTTCAAAGCAAGTAAACTGAATTTTAGTAAATATTTGTTATCTAGGGTGCCAAAGATGTTCATCTTCCTTTGAAAACGTGGAACCTCATCTTGAGTGATAAGCCATTGTGGGCATGATCCATTAATCCAATTTATAATTCATCAAAGGAATGACGAAAGTTATACTAAGATCATCCAGAGGCCCCCAGATTGCCCATCACTTTTTTCAGGAAACGAATGCCATTCAGGTGGAGAGAACTGTGGAAAAAACATGTTAAATAAAGAGTTGATTCATGCCAGGACTTCCAATTTTAATAATAGCACTTTTATGATGATTTATTTCTGGCAATAAAAGAAATCTCTTTATACAATACAAAACAAACAAAAAAAGAAGATAAAAGTACCCAGTTATATCAGGAAGAGTACAAAGTAATCCTTATTATGGAAGCTCCCAGCAAGATTACAGAAGGAAGCCCATCCCTCAGGCAAAAATTATTCCATCATCATCAGGTCGGCGAAGCTGGAAAGAACTCCGAAGGGAAGCTAGGAGCATCCGGGCCACCTCAAAGCTTAGCCAGCGTAGATGGAAGCAGAGAAGGAGTGTACAAACCACCTGCATTGAGGCATCAGGCCACCACATCGCCCATCGCGAGACAAAAAAACCCCAAAAATACGCATACCTTAAGGGGCAGTCAAGTAACAGAATACTTAGGAAAGCTTCCAGAAAAATTATGCATGTACCCAATGATTCGGGCAACAACGTGGATTTTTTAAAAAATTTCCTCCATCAACTCTTTGGGGGGCAGAGGAGAAAATTGCTAATAATGCCATGCCTTTTGGATCTTTGTGGGCTGTCAGCTGGGGAAGTGAAGAAACCCTGATGAATTCCCCATTCTCTGCAAGACAGGCCACCTCAACGCTTTAAGACTTCTCGAACGAGTGTCGGTTTCCCCTCCGTGATAGTTCTCATTTCTGTTGCGAGAACCTGACGAGCGAGTCAGGATTTGCTATCAGCACGTCCTGAAAATGGGTCGGTGGAAGGATGTCCGGCTCAGAAAGTGAAAGCTGCTTTTTCGAAGTCACTAGTTATTTGCAATTGAATGCCCCCCCTTCTCCTTCTTCTTTTGCTCCTATTGTAATAAAACGGTAGCTTTTGCCATTACAGGGTGTATGGCCTGAGTGTGTTTCGCTCCCCAGGCGGGGCTGTATGTGGCTTATAAAAATGACCGACAGTGAACTATTTCATGATTTTGGAAGGACAAAAAAGTAGAGCGACATTTTAAAACACTGAACTATACAAAGCAATGACTTTTCATGGCTTACGACTGTAATTAGCGACTTTCCAAATTCAACTTCCAAGCTCTAGTCCAGCTCCTGAAACCTCCCATTTGTTTCCAAAAGGGAGACAGAAGGTTATCACCAACTTAAAAAAAAACTTCCTGTGAATTGTGATGGCCCAAAATGTTTT